AGGGTGGAAGGAGAGAGAGACAATTCAGAGAAAGATACAGAGAAAGAAACGGTACACGGAAAATCAGAGAGATGAGGGGGAGGGGAGGGAGGGAGGAAGGGAGTCAGAGAAGACAGAGATTCAAAGAAAAGAGGGACCAAGAAAGAGGAATGAAGGGATAGAATGAAAAAGGAGAGAGAAAGAGAGAGACAGAGATTAAGCAAGCTCTCAGAGGGTCCTGATTCTACAAAGGCATATCCAAGCCCATGTACCTCCAAGCTCGCTGCCCTCCTCCCAACCCAGGAGGATCCAGGATGGATATGCATCAGGAGAGACCAGAGCTTCCCCAAACTCTTCTGCATCTCACTGTGTGTGTCTGGATGCTCAGCTGTGCAGTGGAGACAGTGGGATTCCACACGTCAGAACGCATGCAGCATGGAGACCGTTTGTGTGAGTTGTGAGGTTCTGTGCAAGTGCAAAGGGAGACTCTTATCATTCCACAGAGTGAGTCCTAACACACAACAAACCTCCACAAAGAGAGGTGTAGGTGAGATTAGCATTTTGTATTTCAGCACACATGATACAGTCATGTCGAGGGCCTTTTCCATGGGACTCTTGGGGCTTTTACCCAAAACAGCCTAACATTTAGTCATTTTTACTCCTGCCCAAGGAAAGCTATCTCCCCCTTGGATATGGAAACACAACAACACCCTCCCCCAAAGTCAGTTTCCATTGAGACGGAGCAGCTTCCCCTGAGAGAATATTACTCACTGGGTTAGAGTTTATACTGGGATTTTCCATGCTCTGGACCCAGCTTGGAAGAGTCTCAGAAAGATATAGTTCTGACTTACACAAGTTTTTCCAATGCTATGCATTCTGCTGCTGTTTTGGGGGCTCACACTGAGGCTGTAGACCACCTGCACAGTGCCCCCGTGAGCAAGGGTGAGGTACTGCAGCCATCTTCCACGGCAGTTCAGGGCCTGTGCATTGAAACCCTGATATTGGCACTGTCTGTTTAATGTCCCAACAGTTTTCTGACTTGGCCATCTCTAAAACAGTATACAAGAGTAATGTCTACTTCATGAGCTTCTGGCTAGAGTTAAGGGAGAGCGAATGTATGCTAGCAGAAGCTCATGAGGAGCTGGAGAGATGAATCAGCAGGGAGAGCCCTTTCTGTTGTTGTTGAGGACCCAGGCTCAGTTCCCAGCATCCACAGCAGGACTCAGTCTCTATAACTCCAGTCCCAAGAGACCCAACTACCCCTGGACGCCTCAGGCACCTGCAGCCGCATGTTGCACAGAAACTCACACCTTTAGACATAAGTAAAAATCAATAAATTTATAAAAAGTGTTTCCTGGCAGCTGGAAGATGGCTCAGTGGGTAAGGTACTGGCTTTGCATGGAGAGTTCAGATTCCCAGCATCTATGGAAGAAGCGTAGCATGCAGACACGTGTCTACACTTCAGTGCTGGGGACCACAGACAGGCAGATCTTGGGGGCTGGCTGGCCAGTCCAGCAAAATTGGAGAACTCTAGGTTCAGTGAGAAACTCTGTCTCAGAAAGACAAACAGAAAACAAGAGGAAGATAACAAACATCTACCTCTGACCTTTAACACAGTGGCAAAGGCTATTGCATCTGCACACACACAGGCACACAGATAACACATATATGTACATACATACATGAACACACACACACGCGCGCGCCAGCCTTTCACTATGTTCTTACTTCCAACTACTGACTTAATTTATAGCTTTTGCCTTTCCTTTCCCCATACTAATTGTTCCAAAGAAATAATAAGCACACAAAAATAAATAAATGCCCACGGTCCTAGGAAAGGTTATAATGCTACTTTCTATGTTATTTTATCCAAACTCCAAGCTTGTTCAAGTGACAGCTCTTGGGGCCCGGGAGTGGGGAGGGGGTCTCCACATGCCTTGAGGCTGTTTCCATGCCCTACACTAGAGATCGTGGGCTCTGTCCTACTTGTAATCCACAGTCACTGTTCATATGCTCTCCCAGTTCTTGACTATGAGTAACTCTGTGCTTAATCAAGGCCAGCACTTAACCCAAGGCCTTGCTGACATCTCAAAAATGGCAACCATTGTACTATTTCTCCTCACTCTGTGGCCGGAAGTATTTCGTTGGTTCTGAAGGTATAGTTGTGGTAGTATCTCTGGAGAGGAAAAGACCAGGAAGGAGGAAAGACACTTGCCAAAGATGGAGTTGCTCTTCTTTGGAAAGGACATGAGAGGCTTCTTTTTTCTCATTGATTGGTCTCTGGGCTGACTTAGCAGATTCAGCTGCGGCGCTGGAGCACACTGGGTGATTCCCACAGACGACCATGCAACAGACATCCTAGGCCACCGGACACCTGACCTTTCAAATATTAAGCTTGAGGCTGGGAGTGGAGGCACACACCTTTAATCCCAGCGCTGAGGAGGCTCTGACAGGTGGATGCCTGTGAATTCAAGGTCAGACTGGTCTACATCGTGTGTTCTGGGCCAGCCAGGGCTACGCAGGGAGGAGCACACCCCCCTTTTAACTCAAGCATGCAAGAACAAGACCTTCCTGATGGTGGTTGTCAGCATTGATGATACCTAAGAGAGACACTCCACAGAAACCTGCGGAATGAGCAGATGAGTGGGCCTTCAGGTCCCAATCTCTGCTGCGGAAAAAGTGGTGCTGGCTAGAACCTGACCTCCCTCAGAGTTGACCCCTCCCCAGCACTGCACAGGAGCTGAGGACTCAGCCTGAACATCATTCATGGGCCACAACGCCTCACCCCCCAACCCCCAATCTTCAAACACAGCCCAAGAGATAAACTCCTGGGCCCATAGTTTATAGAGGAAAAATTTGAGGATCAGACTCAAGACTGATCAAGACACAGGAACCCAAATAGGTGAAGACGGGAAGAATCGTTCTCTTCTCTGTTATCTCAGAGGGATTTCAGACATGATAGGTCTGGGGGAAGGACTATAAGCATCTCAGTGTCCCCTGAGAATTCTGGGAAAGTGGTCTAGAGAGGCAAGGTCCGCTGAATCTGGAAAGTGCGTACTAAGCCCAGATGTGACATAAAATTATCTACTGATTGTAGCCATAAAGTCCACCTCACTCTTCTGTCTTTCCTCCCTCCCTCCTCCTCCTCCTCCTCCTCCTCCTCCTCCTCCTCCTTCTTCTTCTTCTCTCTCTCTCTCTCTCTCTCTCTCTCTCTCTCTCTCTCTCACACACACACACACACACACACAGATAACATTTAATCCCAACTAGATTTTTGCAGATGCTGGCTCTCTTCTATTCTCAAAACTCCTCAAAGATTCCTCGGGTCCACAGGATAAACTCTGCTCCACAACTGAACAGGTGGGTGGGTATTTATCTTCTTATATGATTAAGAGAACCCTGAGGGTACCCCCTAGATCCATGGCTGAGATTACTCCAGCCTACTTGGAAGGAGTGGCCCTCGTGTTAGCTACCCTTGGCTCCGCGCTCAGAAAGCAAGTCCTTTCATGGAGTCAGCTGTCCCCCAGGCATCCAGGGACACTGGTCACACAGAGGCAAGAAAATGTGACAGCTGTTGCAAACAGCAGCCCATGGGGAGCGGCCCAGGGTTCTCTGGGGCAGACACTTGTCAGCAGTTGAAGGAGCCCATTATCCAGTTACACAAAACACCCGCCAGCTCGGTGGCACCACTTGTAGCAAATTCAAGACGGACTGCCACATTGCCGTGACACCGACTTTAGACTCTGATCAACTTCATTAACCACCCAAATGTACGTGCACTGCGTGGATAGGGGAAGAAATGAACCCACAGCCTCCCTAAATCCAAGGACCAACTTCAAAGAGAGCCTCAGAAGCCAATCCTGGTATTTCGCCACTGCTCACTGCCCCATGCACAGCTTTCTCCTTCTGGGCACAGTCTTTCAGATCAGAAGAGTTTGAGAAAGGGGGTGGGGTCTCCGAGCTACTGAGCCTACATCAGGCCTGCATGCATTTTCCAGAAGACTCCATCCAAAGGCATTTGAAAACACTTTCATATAGACATCGCTTCCAAAACATTACACAGTATTTCTCCAACAAATTTATGTGTTTCTAGGGAACTCCTGGAGCACAGGGGGAAAAGTGCTTAGGTGCAGAATGTCTGGACAGTCTTTTACTCCAACATTCTAGCAGGCTTCCTTTAATTCGCTATTATTTCACAAAGCGCCAGTAACCGTTCCCTCCTCTGCAAAGGAAATATATAACCCAGCTGTGGCGGCTCCAATGAAAACCACATCTGGGGAACACTGGCAGAACTGGCAAGGCCTCTCCAATCTCGGCAGCGTCAGACAGCTCTTGTCTGAACCCGAGATGCACATGGTTCGGTGCTCTGAAAGTGCCCAACTTTGCCAAAACCGGATGCTCCTTTGTATGCCGAACCCATGGGTTTCAGATAATTCCACACCCATGAGAAGGAGACTCTCCTGAAACATTACCCCCAAGACCCAGATCTAAAAAGCCCCTGCCCTCTCTAGGGTGGTGGCCTATGCCAGAGCCCTTACTAATGTCAAATCGGGGAAAGGAAAGGCGGCACTCTTGGTTTCTGAGAAAGGTTGTACCACGCAGCTGGCTGGCTGGGTAGCTGGCAAAGCAAAGGAAGATAGCCACCGTGGGGTCACCATTCTCTCCCTCTCCGGAGTTGGAAGCCAAATTACTTCTGGGCACTGGGTGATAATATTCCAGGAGTCCCCCGCAACACACACATGCACCCGCCCGCTCTGTTTAGTCTATCCCTGAAGCGCGGCAGCAAGCATCTTATTTCTAAGCCAATTTTCCATGTTCAAATCTTCCTGGTCCCAAGTGCGCCCCAGGGGCTTAGTCTACAGACATATAAAGGCAAAAGACAGCGTCGTCAAGCCTGGACAGACTTTCACCCCAGTACAGGGCCTGCGGCTACCAGGCTGGCATGTTGCTGGCCCTGAGCCCACTGGTCCCCGTCCACGCCAGACAATAGAGCAAGAAAATGAAATGAAAAGTGGACTTACTGCTATGGCTTGCAGCCTCTCCTTGTGCAATTCCGCCTCTGCCATCCTGGAGAAGGGCACACGGGCAGGGGAAGAAGGAAGAAAAACAAAACACAAGCTGTAGTCACTCAAGGAGATAGAAGGGCACTCGTGGGGGGCTCAACGACCCCAGGGACAGCCGAAGGGTGTGTGGGGTCCGCTCCTGGGGGGCGGGCAAAGCTGGGTGCACGGCTAGCTCAGAGCTCAGCCTCGGTCTCTGCCGGCGCCGCCGCCTGGCTGCGCCCCAGCGCCGCCGCGAACTGCAAGATCCAGGTCTCTACCGCCACCGCCACCACCGGCCGCGCCAGGCGGGGACGTGGGCCGCCTGCAGCCTCAGGGAGAGCGCGCTCTGCCGCGCTAGGTCCCCGCCCTGACGTCTCCGCGCCTCGCTCCGCCCCTGGGGTGTGGGGGACTCGTGGCCGCCGCTGTCGCTCGCGAGTGGGGGCACCTGGAGTGCGGGTGATAAGCGAGCTGGGGGGCTGGGTGGGGGGCGCACAACTGGTGCGCGTCGGTGGCCAAGCGCGTTGCGCTCGGGGTCTAGACAAGACCAGGCGGCTCCTCTCCTCTGAGCAGAGATGCCAGCAGAAGGGGCCTCTGGCAGAATGCAGGACCCCAGCACGTGTCCTTACATGCCGACTGCGGCCACCCAGTATCCCCAGCGCCTTCTAACTGGCTCTAGATGCTTGGGCTCCACGTGGGGACACTTCCAACAGATAAATGCTGTCTGGTCCCTGAGCTTCAGAGGGCAGGGCCCTCAAGGGCAGGGTTTATCACCAGATAGGCCACCCTTCTAGTGACACACCAACTGTAGACAGCTCAGAGTTTGAAGCCCTGGGTGCCTTCCTGGACAACTAAGTCACTCTGAGCCTCAGTTTCCCTATCTGAAAAAAAGGTAAACGATTGCAAATGATCTCACAGAGACGTCCTTAACGAATGTGGTAGAAGCCTGAGGAGATAGCTCAGTGGTTAAAGCACTTAAGGCTGAAGACCTGAGTTCGTATTCCCAGCGCCCACATAAAAGTCACGCGGTCATGGGTGCACCCGCAATACAAGGGATGCCTAAGAGCAGCCGCTCAGGCCCGGAACACTACTCTGATGGCAGTGTTGTGATGACAGCCCGAAGCATAGGCCCCAATAATGAGCTTGCTAAGAAGAAATGGCCCTGTTCTATTTAGCTATGTGTTTGAAAAGATAACCAAAAAGGATTGATTGATGATGGCGCCTAGGGATATAGCTCAGCTGTTGAGTGCTCGCCTAGCCTGTACTGAGTTAGTCCCGGGTTGGATGCGTGGGAATGAGGGGGAGGAATGAAGGAGCCAAAGAAGGTGAATGTACTTAAAGTCGCCAAAATGTATATTTTAAAAAATGGTTAAAACGGCAGATTATTTACGGAGTATACTTAATGCCAATTAAGTCTCACAAAAAAAGGGGAACGGAAGGGGAGATGAGGAAGGAAAAGGGCCTAGGTGACTCTTTGGAAGCCTTCATTTGTAAAGACCTGAACTTTAAAGCCAAATAATTAGGGTTGGGCCCCAGTGTCCAGTGCAATGGCCGTGCTAGTCACAGCTAACGAGCTAAGAGAGCCAGGGTGAGAACTCAAACTGAGGGAAAGTCAGAGAAGGACACAGATGAAGTAGAAGATCTGGAGAGCAGAAGGAAGAATTGGGAGGTTTACACCAAAAGTCACAACCCGAGGACAGGAAATTGCGTCAGGGTCACGTGCTTCCGTGAGGGTCAGGAGAAAGTAGGCTGAGGAGGAGCTGCAGGCATCAGGAGTGAGGAGCTATGGCTGACGCTGGGATGCAGTTATGCACAGAGGGCAAGTCAGGAATTGCTCAGGAGGGGGCCAAGAAACATGAGAGGTGGGAAACACTCAGAGTAGAATTCCATTTTCCAGCTCCTAGGAAGTTCAGAAGGCAGAGGAAGGGAGTCAATGGGGAGAAGGGTTTCTAGATCAAGAAAGATTTGAATACTTGGGGATCAAAGGGGCTATTCGATGTGACAGATGTTAGCACAGAGGACAATCCACATTGTGCAGGGTGGTCTCAGGTTGGGCCAGAGGATATTTTTGTTAGCATCCCTCACCAGTTCCTCCTTAGAAAGAAGAAAGACTGCAGCAGGGAATGAGGGAGAAAATGGGGAAAGACAGGAAGAAATTTTGAGTTAGAATTTCTATAGAGAAGTTGGGGAGCTTCACCTTTGCTGGCCTGGTTTTCCCTGCAGAAGGAAGTAGTTGAGACTTCTGGGATTGCAGGGAAAACTTGAAATGGTTTATAAAGGAGCTATGGGAAATGGGGGACACTAAAACATGGATCATGGGACTGGATGGCATGGTGGTTAGGAGCACTGGTAGCTTTCCAGAGGGTGCAGGTCCAATTCTTAGCACCCACATGCAGCTCACAGTTGTCCAGGACTTCAGTCCCAGGGAATCTGATGCCCTCTTCTGGCCTCCATGAGCACTGCACACATGTGGTGTCCAGACACACATGCAGACAAATATAAATAATTCTTTTTTAAAAATACATTGGATCCTAGGCAGACATCTGCATTAGAATTTTATGAACACGTGCACAGAATTAAATTTCGATATGATACAATGGGAATTACAGATGGGCTTAGAATCATTTTATTAATGGGATTCACAGGACCAAAAATTTAATTGTGTGTATTTCCTCAGCATTTTTTAAACACCTGAGACCCAGGATTATGCTTGCCCAGATCTGAGGACTGCCAAAGAAAGTGTGGCAAAAAGTCAAAGGGGAGAGGAAATTTAGGGTGCCTGAAACTGGGTTTAGCCCAGTTAGGAAATGTAGGAGACAGATTATTTTTAGCTGCCCAACTGGTAAACCCTTTCTCATCTTTGGGGGCTTCCCACATTTAAACCGTATGAGAAGCAGAGCCATATACCATCACAGAAGTAGGTAAATGCCAGACACCTGCTTCCCCAGATCTCCCGGAAGTGATGCATGGCTTGCAATCTGGGCTTAGCCAAACACAGGCACCTGCCAAGAAGTTTGAAGATGGCATTTCTGAGAGTCTTTTCAGACTGGTGGTAGCTCAACTTAGGTCTTGCCCATGACCCAAGCCTCTTCCATAGATGTCTCAACTATTCCACAAACTACTAAATGCAGCGTAAGTGCCTTCCTTTTACCCCTTTGTCAACCAGAATTCCCTTCAGTTGTTTGTAACTAAGGACCCCTAGTGAAACAGGAAGACATGAAATGAATGGCTGAGGTTCGGCCAAGAAGCAGACGGAGAGTATTTTCTCTTCCAACTCTGTTCCCTTCCAATCTAAATTCTAGCATTTAGAACTCATTGAACCTATCATAAACATAGATATTTATAACCCAAAGTGCATCTGTTTTTTTAGACAGCATCTCATGTGGCCCAGTCTAGCCTCAAACTCACTGTGTAGCCCTGAATGGCCTTAAATTACTTATCCTTGTGCTTCTATCTTTCTGTTGATAGGGCAGAACTTAGGTAGGCGGGGTGACTGGACTGAATGCTGGAAGAAAAAAGGGTGGAGTCAGAGAGAAGCCATGGATCTGCCACCAGAGTCAGACATGCTGCTGAAACTTAACGGGTAAGCCACTGTCACGTGGCGATACACAGATTAATAGAAATGGGTTAAACTACAATGTAAAAGTTAGCCAATAAGAAGTTAGAGCTAATGGACTGAGCAGTGTTTTAATTATTATAGTTTCTGTGTGATTATTTCAGTTCTGGGTGGCTGGGATGAACAAACAGCCCTCTCCCTCCTGTTCCACCCAACATACATCTACTTTGTAGCTATTTGAGATGAGATAGCAAGTGATGGCCTGATATTACAAGAGTTTGACAGCCTAGTGCCACAGCTGAATTGGCTACTATTTTCCTTCCAAACATTTAAAAGTCGGAATGATATTTCATAGTAGTGTGTAATCCATGTCACAAAGGACTGGCTCTTGTTGGGACATTAAGTTGTGCTGTATAAGTGTCTTCCAGGTGGTGGGATGATGTCTTTGGTAGACGCTGCACTGTAAAGCTCCCCACAGACTGAATACAGAATGGTTGATATGCAAATAGATGTTTTGATGATAATAATTTCAGGAATCTATTTTAGGACCAGAGTCCTTTGGGAACTGCAAATGAGCACAGACTATTCTCCCTGTGGGGAAACAGAAGCTCGATAAGCCAAGAGTGGCATGGCTTTCCAAAGCCCATCCTTCAAGGAGAGTCAAAGTCTTGTTGAGGAGGAGCTAAGAGCGTGAAATTTATTAGCAACTGGAAGCTTTTCTTACCCAAAAGTGATTTGAAAGGCCTGTTGGCATCTCCTGTCTTGGCTCTCTTTTGCATAAGATCATTTAAGAAGATTCAGTCATGTAAAGCATATGTGATAAGTAGGATCTAAAGGGAGAAAAAGGAAAAGAAAGTAGAAGGGAGGCTATTGGGGATGAAGAGGGGGAAGGGCGAATGAGAACAGAGAGGATGTGGGGTGTGTGAGATGAAAGTGTGTCATATCAATGCATGGGGATGTCATTATTAAGCATCTTTGTATAACTTTTTTGCTGTTTTTTTGAGACAAGGTTTCTCTGTGCAACAGCCCTGGCTGTCCTGGAGCTCACTCTGTAGACTGCCCTCGAACTTACAGAGATCCGCCTGCCTCTGACTCCTAAATGCTGGGATTAAAACGTGTGTACCACCATTGCTCAGCATATTACTTTTTTAAAGTACATGATTGTTACCCAAAATCCAAAGGAGGAAAACAGTGTTTGTTTGATGTCCCCTTGGTCCCTGTGGTTATCAGCACTTTGGAAAAGCTTATGGGCCTTCAAGGATATACTGTTTTTCTCTGTGGATAAAAAATAATATGAACACACAGGAAGTCCCCATGGAGCAAGAAGACAGAGAAAGGTTAAGAAGCAGAATACCAGAGTGAGGTAAAATAGTCCATACCTACTTATGTACCACTAGAGACCAAGGTTTCTGCACAGCAGATTCGGTGGGAAATCTGGCTGGACATGACCATTGGTATCCGGTAGGATACTT